TTCTCTAAGGCAACTTGTGATAAACAAAAGTTCTAATTTTAGTATGACTGAATTTTATCAATCCCTTATACTAGTACTTTTTGTATCTTAAGAAATGTTTCTCCAACTGAATGAGACACATTTTTCAAAAAATTTAAAGCACTGATTTTTCCATATTAGTATCAAATTGCCCTAATGTAATTTATTGAATAGTCTGTTTTCTCCACAGATTTACATTTACATTCCATCATTTCCTATTTCATTATGTATAAAAACTTCACCAATTTACATTTCCACCATTTATCAAAATTATATTTACACCTGTGTTTCTGAGCTCTCTATTCTGTTCTGTTGGTGAATTTGTCTATCCCTATACCAGTATCAAATAATCTTCATTATTATAGCTTTATAATAAGGCTTTTTTTTTTTTGGTACCGGGGATCGAACTTGGGTCCTTGCGTTTGCGCAGCAGTTGGTGAAACCACTGAGCTAAATGCCCAGCCCTATAATAAGGCTCATTAAGGCAATTTCTGCATTATTTTTCTTCTTTCAGGATATCTTAACTGGTTCAAGCCCCTTGGTTTTCCATATATATGTTCAAATCAGGTTTTCAACACACACACACACACACACACATACACGCACACTTACTTTAAGAAATTTGAAAGGCTTAACTGTCAATCACAAAGTAGCCAACTTTTAAAACAGCTGTTTTTTCCAGCGCCTGCCTTGTGAGGACAAGGCCCCGAGTTCAATCCCTGGTACCCCCCCCAAAAAAAAAATCCAAGTAAAATAGCTGTTTTTCAATAGGTGTAAAATGATTTAAAATTTTATATTTTTAAAATAGTTCTATAATCTTCTTATAGAATGGGAATCATATATAGCTCTCTACCTTTAGCTTGGCTAAAGGCTTATCAATTTTACTGAACCAGTTTTTTGTTTCACTGATTTTCTCTATTAATTTCCCTTTTCAATTTAATTGATTTCTGCTTTTTTTTTTTAAATGAGACTGGGAATTAAATCCTCTTTTACAACTATTCCACCACTAAGCTACATCTCCAACCTTTCTTTCTTTTCTTTTTTTTCCTGGAATCAGGACCAGGACTCAGGACCTTGCACTTGCAAGGCAGACAGGGCACCACTGAGCTAAATCCCTGGGCCCCCCACCTTGTTATTTTGAGGCAGGATCTTGCTAAATTACCAAGGCTGGCCTTGAACTTGCAGTATTCCTGCCTCAAGAGGTACACACTTGGATAAATATTAATTTCTTCTGAGATTTTCTCTTTGACTCATGTTATCTAAAAAGTGTTGTTTAATCTTCAAATATTGAGGTTTTTTAGCTATCTTTCTACTGTTGATTTCTAGTTTAATTTTGTTGTAGTCTGAGAGGTCACATGTTGCATGAATTCTATTCTTATAAATGTTTTATGGTCTCATATCTGCTCTTAGTGAATGGTTCCAGGTTAGCTTGAGACTATATATTCTGCTATCATTGGATGAATATCCTATAAGTGTAGATTAGATGTCACTGAAGGTAAGGTTCTGTTTGGCTATATTCTTGGTTTTCTGCTAGCTGGATCTGTCAATTACTGATAGAGGCTCTTAAAGCCACCAAAGAGCCAGGCATGGTGGCACATGCCTATAATCCCAGCACTTGGGAGGGTGAGGCAGGAGGATAATCACAAGTTCGAGGCTAGCCTGGGCTACATAGTTAATTGTAGGCTAGGCTGGACTACATGGTAAGACTGTCTCAAAAAAAAAAAAAAAAAGCCTCCAATATGTGGAGGTATGTGTACATCTCCTTAGGGTTCTATCAGGTTTTGCCTCACATATTTTGATGCTCTCTGGTTAAGACTGGAGCCATATATTTCACTTTTCCACAGTATTTGATCATCTAATATTTTGTTGCTATTAATTTTAAGTGTCACCTATTAGGCCTTTTTTTTTAATTTTAATTTTTTTTTTTACCTATTAGGCCTTTTAAGGATAAGAAAAGTAAGTGTGATTTGATCTTTATGGATTCCTTCTCTTTCTTTTCCTTTCTTCACACACATCTGAATTTCTGACCTGTATTATTTCCCTTCTCTCTGGAGAATTTCATTTAATAATTCTTGTAAAGCAGATCCTACAGGTAACAAATTTCCTTAATTTTTGTTTGAGAAAGTTTAACCTCTACTTCACTTCTGATGGATAATTTCACTAGATATAGGGTATTAGGCTGGTAGAGTTTTCATTTAAAATGTTTTTTTTTCTCCTCCGTGTAAACAGCACTGTTTATTCAGAGTGTGAAACTATAAAGAGAAGTATGATAAAATTCTTATCCTTGTTCTACAGTAAGGTGTTTTTTCTGTTTTTTTCAAGATCTTCTCTTTTCTTTTAATTTTCTGTAGTTTAATTATTATATGCATATTACATATTTAACTATTGTATGCCTATTAGGTATTTTTTGGTATTTATTCTTGGTGTTTGATGAGCTTCTTGTATCAGCAGTCTGATATTTGTTAACAGTCTATTATTATTCCAAATATTTCTTGTATTCCTTTTCCTTTTGGTATTCTCATTGTGAGTATGTTGCATCTTCTGGAATTGACCTATAGTTCTTGTCTTTTTTCCTCTTTGTTTTTCAAGTTGGGAAGTTTCTATTGATATTTGCAAATTCATTGATTCTCTCTTCAGGCAGGTGGATTACTGATGAGTCCATCACTTCTGGGCTCTTTCATTTCTCTTAAAAGTTAAGCGCTTCCTGCTTACATTACTCTGCTGGTCATCTATCACTGTGACAAAAATACATGAGATAATCAGCTTACAAGAGGAATGGTTTATTCTGGCTGCCAACTCTCCAGGTTTCAGGCCAAGATCAATTGCCCCTGTGCTGCTGGACCTGTGGCAAGGCAAAACATCATTAGGAGGGCATGTGGTGGAACAAAGCTGCTCACCTCATGCAGCAGGGAGTTAAGAAAGAGAAGAAAAAGGAACCAAGAGCCTGCCAGCTCCTTCAAAGGGTGTTCCTGATGACCTAACTTACTTCCAGTAAGGTTCCAAAGGTTCTGACACTTCCCTAAAGCACCCAGGCTAGGGACTAAACCTCTAATACTTGTGCTTTTGGGGGCCATTCAAAATCCAAACTATAGCAATTATCTGTTCTTGAACACTGTGCACTTTTTCCATTAGAGTTCTGAACATATTAATCATGGTTATTTTAATCTATGGATCTCATAATTCCAAAATGTCTGCTGTATTTGAATCTGGTACTGATGTTTGCCTTGTTTTGTTTTGGTTTTTTTTTGTGTGTGTTACCAGGAATCAAACTCAGGACCTTGTACTTTCAAGACAGGTGCAGTGCCACTGAGTTAAATCCCCAGCCCTGCCTTATATTTTCAGACTGGGTTTTTTTTCTTTCAGCAAGCCTTGTGACTTATTGAGTCCATAGTTACTGACATAAAAGGCCTTCTGTGTGTGTGTGTGTTGGGGGGGAGCATGGAACTGAACACAAGACAATGTGCATGCCAGATAAATGCTCTGACTCTGAGCTATACCCTGAGCCCTGGTACAAGGCCCTTTATGTTTACCTGTCTAGGAGGACTATGTTGTATTCAATGTTTGCTGTATTTGTAAAGTGGGGCCCTACTGATGTGGTAATGAGATATGTGGGGGGGGGCCTGAATGTGTTACACAGTTCTAAGAACAACTCTCAATCTTTTGGTCAGTCAAAACCAGTTTGGGGGCTGGGGATTTAGCTTAGTGGTTCTGCCGCCTGCCTTGCAAGCGCAAGGACTCGAGTTCGATCCCCAGTACCAAAAACAAAAGCAGTTTGGGCAACATAGTGATACTTCATCTCAAAACCCAACCCAACCCAACTCAACGCCTTTAGATGAGACAAGAAGGCTACAGTGGGCTGGAGTTGGGAATTTCCATTCCTCCAGGTTGGCTGGGCTACAGTATAATAGTTTCCTTTCTGTGCAGGTCTTTGTTAAGGAGAATGAAATTCTCTGGAGTATTTAACAATGACTACTTTTCCTTCCCTTTGAGGGAAAGAATGATTTTCTTACATCTTCCTTGGGGGAAGCTGGTGGGGCTCCTTGAAGTAAAATTCACAAAAGTATATGGGTCTTTAGGAATTTTTATCTCATAAACTAGTCAGTTATTCTTTAATATTGCTTGATAATGGCTCAGTGGTGGATTCTAGGTGGTATCTGCTATGGTTAAGCTCTGATTCTCTGGATTTGCTTGTCTCCAGTTTTCAGATCAGTGTGTCCCGTGATCTCAAGTCTCTGACGGATGTAAGCTTATTTTCCTGCTCATAAACCTTCACTATTTCCTCACTGATTCAAGATGAAGTCCACCCGTCTCTGCCCAATATACATTTCTTTGGTAGTTGAACAGGGTCACTGAAATATTCTGTAAAACATGGCCCTTGTTTGTTTTTCAGTTTGATCTCTCACTACTCCCTGAAGCAAGCCCTTATTTCTGGTGATTGGTAAACTTATTGTTCCTAAAATACACTTATGTTCACTCATTGCATTTTTTCAAGTCATTCCCCAATATTTACAATGTCTACAGTGAGTGATTTACAAGTCACTCAGCCTCTTCTGATTCAATCTATATTTCTCTGATGGTTCAACCTGCTCCTGCCCATTAAGCTTATACATACACAGCTATTCAGAGGGAGTATTCCAGAACACCTTGAAAGGTGTCAGGAAGACAAAGTTTTTCATAGACTACATTTATAAAATGAGCCTGCAAAGTGAAAGGCACTAGTTTAGATATTAAGAATTGCTGACATCATTTAGAATAACTGAGTTGGCAATTATTTTTTTTAAAAAGCTTCGTAGTGAAATTTTAATTAATGCAGGAAGGAGAAGGAGGAGGAAGAGGAGGAAAAGGAGAAAGAGGAGGAGAAGGAAGAAGAGGAGAAGGAAGAGGAGGAGGAAGAGGAGAAAGAGAAAAGCTATTACCAATTCAAAAAAGCAGGGTTTTCAGCCCTGAAGTTTAATTTTTTAACTTAAAACATTAAAACTCACGTTCCATTTGCTCAAACATTACTGAAAAGAGGAAGTCTCGTGGTGTCATATAATATTCCCCTTCATGTTCCAGTGAAGAAAATTGCATGAACCGCTGCTTACGAAGGGAGAGTTTCTCTACTGCTCCATGGTCAATGTTTTCCTAGAAGACAATGAAATTGCAATTTAATTTTTGTTTGGTAGTGTTCCTAACTAAGCTACTTCTAGAATAATCTTTAAAGAGTAATTTTCATGCTTAGGTTTGACAATTTTCAAGCTTTTAAATCCTCATTTAACAAATATTAACTGAGTGCTTACTTTGAACTGTTTTAGGCACTGAAAATACAGCACTGACGAAGGAATTTACATTCAACAAAGGGAGAATGAAAACAAATAAATGAATATATAAAGTAATTTCAAGTGGTATGAGAGAAGGGCCACAAAGAAACACAAAGCTGGATAAGAAGGTGATACATGGTAATAGTTTAGACAAAGTCAGGGATGATCTTTCTGAGAGACATGTAGATAGGCTACATGAGGTGGAGTGAGCATGGGCTCACTTGCAGAAGCTTGGTTTGCTGAAGGAACACCAGGAGGGCCAGTGTTACAATGATGGAGGGAAAAATAGAATGGCAAAATGGAGGTAAGAGCAGAAAGACTGGGAGGCAACAGGACCTACACTTGTGCTTTCATAAGGAGAGAATAAACCATATCTGATAAACAGGCCTGCTCAAAAATTTGAGTGGGAAATCACAGTGCAAAGTACTAGAAGAATGAGGATAGATGAAACATTTTGAATGTGAGTATGAATCTCAGGCAATGGAACTTAGATCTTGACCGACTGCTGAAAAAGACAATGCTGAAATCTGTATTGCTAAGCTTTCATTGAGCACTTATTACATACTAGGCACTGTGATAATTCAACAGTGTACATAGAATATTTAGTTAATCCCTATAGTAACTCTGACAATAGATACCATGTAAGATTTGGAAAGTGATATAGTATATATAGCAGAGCCAGGCTAAAAACCCATGTCTGTGTCGAAAGGTTTCAATCTCTTAAACCTTCCTAGTGACTGGGTCTTGTGGCCAGGCAGACTGGAGGAAGATGACACAGTAGGCAGCACAGACATTAACTTCAAGGTAGAAATCCCAACAGAAGATACTGTCTGTGAAACCCAACAGCAGGCGTTCACTCTGGATTGCTTCCTTAGACTACTGCTCGCTCTCACTTAGACCATACATCCTTCCTGGACATATCACCTATGACTGATCCCAAACATACAGAGGCTGTTCAGTGACTGCCGGAGAAAAATATGAATTCCAGTTGCTTAACCTCTCTCAATTCAATGCCCTCAACAGGCATTGGTTGACTTAAGTTCTCCAACTAGTAGTGCAGCAATTCTCTCTCCTGAATTAGACAAGTTTTCTTGAGCACTTACTTTTACATGTATTTTGCATTTTGTTACAGTGCCTACTACAATACTGGATATATACAGAATACTCAATAATACTGCAATAATCTATACCTCAGCATCTCTAGGTTTTCCCTTCTCTTTCTCCTTAAATTATTACTCTAAAGAAAACTCAAGGGTCATGTTTTAATTACATGAATGAGTCAATACTCATTCGAGGAATCAAAAACTGAATTTTATAATACTTTGAATATTTTATACTTGAGGCAAATAATTACAGTAAAATATCAAGCTCTGTATACAGCAACATACACATCATTTTATTTAATAAACTGATATTGAAATCTGTATAAAAATGGTGGTAAATAAGAAAAACATTAATTCGTATTAGGAAGTACTAAGTGCTTTGGCAGTGAATATATAGAAAGTATAGGGCTGGGACTGAAAAAAAGGTGGGTTAGAGAATTCTCAGTGAAGGTCGTAGCATTTGCAAAGTCTAGATATTAAAAGAAATGAGTCCAGTAGGAGGATTGCTGTGCCCTGGGCTACACAGTGAGTTCAAGGCCAGCCTGAACTACATAGTAAGACCTTGTCTCAAGAAGAAGGAGGAGGAGAAGGAGGAGAAGGGGGAGGGGGAGGAGGAAAAAATGAGAGGTTAACATGGGCTCAGACATTATTAGCTTAGAAATTTTTTTTTTTGGTACTGGGGATCGAACTTAGGACCTTGTGCAGGTGGCGGAACCACTGAGCTAAATCCCGGCCACAGCTTAGAGATTTTTTATATTTACCATACTATTGTTACTATGTAGTCTATTAAAAGATGAATAAAATAATAATCTATACAGAAAAAAGTACCTTATTTCCTTAAAAAATCTCACCTTTCATACTTTCTATTATCAAAAATCTTTATGACTTATTTAAACCAACAACTTAATCTTAAATAAATTCTTCTTTCTAAACCTCAAACAACTAAAGGGGGCAACTACTCATTTATCCCCTTCATCTATGGGTCTCAGAATAAGATGGACCATTAATTCTCTCTTTTCTGGTTTTCATGTGGTTCTCTACTTTGCAGCAATCTTAATTCTTCCCTGGTCTTAACTAATATCCATCCTTACCCAGAAGTAAGAAAACAAACTTCCCACCCTCTTACAGCAAGGCATAAAAAAACTATTTTTCTTTTTAAAATAAAAATTAACACAAAGTAGATCAAAGAACTTACCATAAAAGCTACAATTATAGAATTATAAGAAAACACAAGGGAAAGCTTCACGACATTGCACTGAAACTTTTAAATTTTATTAATAACATATGTTCATTGTATGCGTTAATGGGGTTCAGTGTGAGATATGCCTACAGTGTACACTGATCAAATTCTACTCGCCATTCCCCACTGCCACAATCTCTAGTAATCACTATTCTTTTAGGTTGATGTCTTTTAGCTTCCATGTATGAAAGAGAACATGCTGTGTTGTCTTTCTGTGCCTAGTTTATTTCATGTAGCATAACATCCTTAAGTTCCATCCATTTTGCTACAAATGACAAGACTTCATTCTTATGACTGAGTAATACTCCATTGTGTATATATACCACAAAAAGAAACTATTTTCAAAGAAATCCTTTTTTTTTCTTGCTTGAGATTTAGATCCTAAAATTTTCTCTATCATTTTCTGTGTCTGTAACTCACATAAGGTAACGTTTCTGGAGAGTCATGAGAACAGTCAACCATATAGGGACGTACTATTTTATTGAATCCAATGGCTTGTTAGCTCTTTCAATTTTGGTTAAATATCTTCTCTAGTGAACAAGAAAAGGTAGGTGTGTGTGTGCATGAGCGTGTGTATGTATATATATATGTGTGCACTGAAACAAAAGCTCTTGTTCATTGGTTGCTTTTTGAAGTTGAACTTGTCATGGAGTTGGTTAATGGTCCATCTTGTTATGAGACCAGCAGACCACTTAAACACATATGACCTCCACATCTGTGCTATAACCATTACTCTCTTCACGTGTGGATGGTGTGGTATAAAACCTTCCAATAATCCTACCATAGCCCTCCCAATTCAGTTTGGTATGGCAACTTTTAATTCCCCTTATTCCCTGGTATAAATAAACCTATTCTCTCATCTCAAAACCTTTCAAATCCCACTGCCAGCACCAATAATACCTTTCCTTTTCTTAATCTTTTCACTGCCTCTCACACTTCGTTTACTGAGTATACAGCAATCACTTGCAAGTCTTCAACACAGCTGACTCCAATTCTACCATTTTCCTTATCATAGATACAGTAGATGTCCTAAGGCACCATTTCTCACTACTACAGTCTTTCCTTTCTTCCCAATCCTCATCCTCAGCAGCAAAAACATACAAATTAAGGGGGGCAACCGTGTATTAGTGGATATCAACAATAGTTAATGTTTATAAAATATGTAATATATGCAAGTCAGGTTGCTAACATTTTAACACATGTTCTCACACAATTATCACAATGCCATTAATAGCAGACACCATTTTTGTAATTATCATTAAAAAAACCACAAAATAAAACTAATCTTGTAGGGTTAATCAGCCTGCCTAGCTTAACGCAGTGAATTAAGTTATAGCACAGTATGACATCAACCTTCCTATGAACCATTTTCCAGTACTAGCTCCTTTAAGAATTATACAAATTAGAAAAGTAGAAAAAGCAGTGTGGAGATGATGCTAGTTGAAGGAATTTTCATGAAAAGAGTAGGCTTTAAGCCAGACTTTAGAGAATAAATAAGAAAGAGCAGAACCAGAATAAGTCATCCTTTAGGTCCTGGGTTAAGTGCTGTTCATTTCCATTATTTCCCCAGTTCAGGCAAATTTAAAGTAATTAGGATGTACTGAATATGATTCTTTGCTGCAAGAAAGTTTATGTAGAAGAAAAAAAGTGATGTTCTGATGTTACCAGAGCCTTTCAAAGTTTATGAGCCAACACAATTTTGTTATCTTCATCATATAACAGTTCAATTTAAAAAGTGTATTTTAAAGGAACACTAGTATAATCAATGTATATATTTATACTTATTACTTATTTCAGATTCTAAAAGGTTAAATTGCCAATGCCACCTTAATCCTTTACTTTTCTGTTCTGTTTATCATGCTTTACTGCATTTGTAAGTATTTTGATCAACTCTCAAGTTTGCTGGATGAATTTAATGGCCAAAATGCAACAAGCAACCACAAAAATTGCTCTTAATAGGACAAAAGATGCTTTATTATATCATTTCCAATAATAAAAACCAAAATGTTTATTTTCCCCTAATTTTTCTAATACACTGTAAGCATCAGAGGCATACATTTTGTCTTGGTGTCACCACACTGTGCATTACACATAGTGTTAGAATGACTGATAATTATAACACAGAATTCAACCCTTCATGATAAATGTAACCATTATGTACTGCAAACATGGACTAATTTTAAAAAACAACAAAAAAGGGGCTTAGAGATCATCTAGTTCAATAGCTCAGTGCATGTGACCAGAAGTCAGGCATTTTGAGTCTCATATCATGCTTGGTTAACTAGTTTGTAACTGCAGAGGGCTGTAATATTGATTATGCCCAAGGCCGGCTGTAAAGAGCTAACCCCACAATTGGCTTGTTTATGGAAGTGAGTCTGGCTGAAGCCTAAGTGCCAAGGTCAGAGTAACTCGCACCCAAATTTTGTTCCCACAACTAAAACCTTCTGACTAGAAGGACGATGTTCTAATTACATATATTTT